CAGGTGTGAGGATTAGACAGGCAGCAAAATCCTCCAGCCCTTCCCCACACCATGGACTCTGGTCAGCCCAAACCAGGCATTAAGGGTTTAACAGGTGTGTCACAACACCACAGACGCTTTCTCCACTGATTCTGAACTTTCTAATTACCAGAAGCTCACTGCCAGTTGCCAGGAGATGACCCTCATCTGCTGATGGCAGTGTCAGGATTAACACCAACCCTGGGCACAGAAAGACTCTATCACAGTTGAGCAGCTTTATCCTGACCTCAAGAGTAACACTGCATTATAAAAAATCATCATCAGATCTTTAACTTTTATTAAATCAATGTCAGGTAAAACAGGAAGAAAAATAAGGGTGGAGAGAAATCAATTGTTCCAACACCTGATGATTATCCAGAAGAAGACAGAGTGAGTTCAGAGCCAGTGCTTTCCCAGAGGGCTTGATTTCTGCCACCATCCCCAACCCAGCCAGATGCCACAGTGATCATTAGGGGGAAACAAGCATCTATTGAACCAAAAGCAACATCAACACTGGAGCAGGCAAAAATCCCTCCCACAGTGGGGAGCACAAAAGGACACACTGGACAGCACCTCAAATTTGCTCTGCTGTGCTGAGAGTCAGCCACCAGTCCAGCTGGGGCCAGCAAAATCCTTAAGGAGCTAAAATTACACGATTTTTGAGCCTAAATATTGCCTTTTCGTGGGAATGCCACAGGATGCTTCAATCCAAGAAGGGCATTGCACTGTGGCGACTGTATTTCATGCAAAGGTAAATTGAGAGGGACTCGTATTTAATGCAAAGACAAACTGACAGTGGCTCATATTTAATTTAAAGATAAATTGAGAGGGGCTTATTGCACTGACTGTGGGAGATTCACCGGCTCATCAGCTCCAAGCACGAGTCCAAGCCAAGCAAACCCAACTCCTGTGTGGGTCTGTGGCATCTGCTTGCTGCAGTGTTTGGGTTCCCGCTCCAAAGGTAGCTGGGGCGTAGGGTGCAGGAGCTGGGCTCACTACCTGGAAGCAGCGAATGAGCTCCAGCAGCCCATTAGGAGCATCTGGGTTGGGACATTCACCATGTGGCTTTCTAAAGGCAAAGCTGTCTTCACCATCCTCTGCCACCTCCTCCTCCTCTCCTCCCCAGGGCTGCCGGGGAAGTGTGGCAGGGCTGGGGGGGGGCTCTGGCTCAGAGAGCTCCGAGTCCTTCTCCACATCCACACAAACCCCCTTTCCACATGTCAGGTCCTCCTCGCTGGCGGATCGGCTGGGAACCGCCTCCTCCTGCTCCTCCTCCTCCTTCTCCTCCTCCTCGCTGCTTAGGGAGGAAGCACCAAAGTGCCAGCTGGCAGAAGGCTGTGAGGCGGGTGGCACTGGAGTCTCACTAAAAACTACCGACTGCCTTGAGCCCTCCCACGCAAAGCCAGTGTTAAAACTGCTCCACTCTGCCACTGCAGCCACATCCTCTTGGGAGAGAAAGTCACTCATTTTCTAAAAAGAAATGGATACACAAAAAGGGCCAGAGAGAGAGAGAGAGAAAGAGAGCAGGGAGTTAAGGAGAGCAGGAGGTCAGAAGGCATCAAGGCAAAACATCAGGTTCTTATCATGTATCACATCTCCGGTAACACATGCAACAGTGGGGCTGATCACTGGAAAACCTCTGTGATGTAGCCAATGCATTTACTGACACAGCCTTCCTGGTACATTAACAATCCACTCTCCTAAATTCTAAGGAAGTAATGTGAAAACTCTCTGCACCTAGAGGAAGAGCCACCACTGAGTGCTTCTTGCTCGGTTTGGAATAATTTCAGTGTATCAATCAGTGTATCAAGAGTGGACTTGTGCACATCCAAAACTTCCATGGGCAACAAAACCCACCAAAACCATCCCGATTCTGCTTTTAACTCCTTGAAACTGTTGCCCCATTTTCTAACAAGATTTCCTGGGCAACCAAAAACCTGTAATTTGTGCTTAAAATGTGAGGCCTGAAGCCTGTGAGTTATTTGGTATGGTTTATTTATTATACCCCAGAGGCTTTCACTTTGACTGACCCCCTCTCACGGCACAGCTCAATGGTAGAGTAAGAGCAGGAGCCGCTTTATGTAGGAACAAATAGATGCTTTTTCCTAGTATAATTTCAAGAAATTACTCTTCCCCCATTTTTCATGGTATTTTTCAGTTCTCTGTTCTTTCTGTTGCAGACACATTAGCTGTAAGATTTCTATTTACTAGAATTTCCAGCCTCTTGTGCTTAAGTTGTTGGGATATTGCTTAGCAAAATGCATTTAATAGGAATGGAGGGAGAGCAATCAGCACTGAGATGGGCAGGTCAGACTGTGCTCACAGGAAAAGGCTATTTCTGAACCAAACCCACTTCCACATGTTTCTCCAAACATGGAGAAACTTGGAGACCTCAAGGCAGCTTGCAGCTTCCTCTGGAGGGCAGCTCCCATCTCTGCTCTGGGACAGGGACAGCAGCCAGGGCACGGCTGGAGCTGGGCCAGGGCAGCTCAGGCTGGAGATCAGGGCAAGGTTCTTCCCCCAGAGGGTGCTGGCACTGCCCAGGCTCCCCAGGGAATGGGCAGGGCTGGGGGCTGGACTGGATGATCCCTGCAGTCCCTTCCCATTCAGGATATTCTATGTTATCATATCCATATCCCACCCTCATTTCCTAACTCAAGACTCTACATTGCAATATTCCACAAAACAGAACATGAATGGGGTTGTCAGCTGTGTACAGCCATGTCTTGTTGGTTTAAAACTTGAATTTATATACTGCCAATATGCTGACCTTCCCTTAATTATAGATGCTAAACTTGCAAATTATTCATGGGACCTTGAGAAGACACAGCTCATCTTTTGGGGTTTAATGGAACATGTCTTAGGAGTGAGACTTCCTTATGTAAGAGCTGGAGCACTTCTCAGCCAACAGAAGAATCACAGATAAAACAAAGAAGATTAAGCAGCTACACAAACACTGATGTATTTAAAAGGCAAAAATCTGTATACAGTCAAAACAACCTCCCAGTTCCATTTCACAGACAGATAAAATAATTTGCATTTGGAAGCATCTTGTATGACAGATGCAAAAAGGAAGGGAGAGCTGGAATGGAGCCTGTGCCAAGTATTCTCATCACCAGCAGAGCCAAGTGCAGCAGCAAACATGCAAGCTGGAAAGACAGAATGAAATCCTGATAAGATCAACTGACAAGAAACACTTTTTGCCTTGCCTTCCCACTCCACTCATTATTATTAAGAAGATAAACTAATGGGAAGGTATTTGTTTCTAAATAAAGTTATCTATGTAAAATTCCTCCATAGGAATTTCAGCATCTGTTACAAATTCTGATCTTATCAAGATTTGTTTTAAATTGCAAATGTCAAAGCAAACCTATGTTTAGAGCTCAGATTTGCAGAGTTCCAAGCTCACCTTGAGACCCAGGAAACCTGAGATGTGCCTGGACTGCCAACTACTCATTTCCAGGGACATAGCCCCAAAACAGTGAGGCCTAAATCAAGCACAAAGCAGTCAAACACAGAGTAAATTAAATACAGAACAGGATGCAATGCCCCAGAAGAAACAAACTGACCCAGACATGAATGCAACTAAAGCACCACCCTTGAAATACAAATCTTTGTGCCTCAGAAGATACAGCTGAAGCATTGCAATGAAGTGACACACAAATAATTCAGACTGGGGATAAATTAATAACAGGCTTAACTTCATGTTTGACACCAGTGGCCAAAAGGATTTATTTTTCTCAAAAAGTGGTTTTGTATAAATTGGTTTGCCGGCATTTTTTCAATGCTGTTTTGGATCATGATCTATTTGTATGACTCAGTTACCCTGTGTTGTTTGAGTGGATTTTTTTTTTCATGCTGCTGCCTCTCTCTGTTGAATATTCCATTATTCCAATCCCAAATCAGACTACTATCCTGCAGAAAACTTAAGGAGAGCTAAAATTATGTCAACTGCCAGTTACTATTAAATAAAAATTGCTAAAACCATGAAGTTATAGTGCACAGTAACTACCTACAACCACCACATGAAATGCTGGGAATCCCAGCTGGTTAATACTTCCCAGTCCTGTTCTTTTCCAGCATGGCAATGGAATTGTTGACGCTGTTATTAGGTTATCCCCAAACAAGGATCCACAGAAGCTCACAGGCTTGGAGTGACTGTCTAGGGATGCACAAGGAGATGATGTTGTTTTGCAGCAAACCACACTCACCAGAGAGCGCTCCCAGATCAACTGATGCTCAATCTCACAGCTGGCAAAGCACTTGGGTAAAAAGTATTATAAAGCAGAAAACAAGAGATCCTTATTTTACAGTACCCACCACTGCCTTACCAAACTGCTTTGCCTTAAGGTAAAAGTTAAAAATGTTCAGAAGCTGTTAAAACACCCTGGCATTGAAAAGGATGGACATTACCTATGGATTTGTGGTTTTCAGTGGATTTTCTCACTGTCATTGATCTGATCACAATGTCCTGACCAGCCTACTCAGACGATAGACAGACAAAAGAGATTTTGACCGAAAGTAAAAGTAATGCTAGAAAACACACAGTGTGCCCAAACCTTCAAAAGATTAAATTCTGTCATGAACAAGAATCCAATATATTACACAACAATCACCTGCAATCGTTGCATTGATGTCTTGGTAATGTGAAACAACCTCAAGATCAAGACTTAAATTATCAAAATGAGATTGTTGGGCAATATGATTCCTCTGCCCACCCCCACTGGTCTCCTTCCCATCTCTTTTGTGGGCAGGTACTCTCACATGAAGGGGTCTTTAGTCCAAAATCCCTCTGCAGAGAACAAAGTAGTGGCATTGCAAGAGCTGCCTTAGTGCAGCAGCAGCAGGTGAAAAGAGGGGATAAATTCAGTGTATATAAATGCCATCAATTTTGTGCTGCTCATTCCACTTCCCTCATTCATAAATGAAGTGTCTTAGGTCACAAGATGTAGCTGGGGGCGTGTATTCTATTTCCAGTATTTCATGATTCTAAGATAACCTTCCCAGGAGCTGGTGGTACAGCCAAGCCTCATTCCTCCAAACACAAACTACTTCCCTTGGTGCTGAGGAAATCCACCTCTACTGATTATTCAGGATAGGAGGGAGATATGGAATACCTACTCTTTAGGGTCATCACTAGTTACTGGACAAACCACAAGAGAGGGGAACCAGTCTTGGCTGAACACTGCCCTGACTGAGCTGCCCATGGAGAGTCCTCAGCTCACCTTCCATCACTCCCCGAGGGAGGCAGAAGGTGGGAGGACATGCAGCCAACACCCTCATTTATCTGCTCCCTTTTAGCAGTTGAAAAAGAAAAAGGGATGTTGTTTTACAGCAATGAAGACTTCAAGCATCATCACACACAGAGCCCCACACCCAGCACAGCCTCGGAACTGAATCCAAGTTCCAAGCTATTGGCTCTGGCACATCTGCTGCTTCAGAATACTGGTTTCCACTTTTTCCTAAAGCAAGAAAGTACAAGAAACTCCTGTGTGTTTTAGGTGGTGTCCAAAAGAGCTGGAATCCGGGTAAGGAGATTCAGGAAGTGAGTGTGGAGCCAACCGTCAATATTGCAATGGAAATCACTGAACCCTCTACAGCTCCCAACAGGATCCTACACATAAGCATCAAAGAGCTGAGTGACCACATCACAAAACAATAGGCAAAACTGCTGGCAGACTTATCCTTCCTATGTCACCAGTGTGCCAGTCACCAGAATGCCATTTTCTGCAGCAGGTCACATTGAAAAACCAGGATTTCTCATGCCAACCTGGATGAGCTTACCTGCTGCAGACATTTCCAGCTTCCCTGCAAGAGGGATAACTCAGCTCTCCATTGCTCATGGCCTGGCACTGCACCAGCCAGGCTGAACAGGGTGTGTGAATCCCTGTGTCAATGGGTGCCAGTGTCAGGGCAGGCAGCCAGGAGTTCCTAGCAAGTTTGTTCCTGAGGAAAATAGGAATAAAGTTCATGTATTGGTTCCTTTATAGATGCCCTGAGATCTCAGCCTTTAAACAGCACTAGAGCCAATCAGCTCTCCCTGTGCACAGGAATGACAGCAGGACCCATAAAATCCTCCTCTCAGTGCTGCATCCTGTGCTGACATCATGGGAAAAGGGGGAAACCAGAGCACCAAGGTGTAAAAGATATGGAATGTGCACAAACAGGATACAGAATGTGCAGGAATTAGAACTTACGTGGATGGCCATGGACTGTCACTCCCTTTGCATCACAAGCAAACAGGGAAAAAAGCAGAGGAGTGACTGGGAAAGGGGCTGTAGCCCAGTGGACACATCCCTGGGGTGTTGGACAGATGAGGTTTCTGTTCCTGCTAAGTTACAGGCTTCCTCTGTTAGGAGGGATCATATCTACCTGGATGAATATGGATAACTGGCCTCTAAACTGCCAGAGATACAGAAAGCATTTGTTCAATTTCTTTATACTCTGCAGTGATAATTGGTCTATAAATCCCAAAAATGTTCCTGAGCATTTTCAGAGTGTAAAGTCTCCAAGGTTTTTTGGTGATGACAACCAGCCTTATCTCAAGATTAAAAAAGAGAGAAAGAGACCACTTGAATTAAAGAGTTAAAGAACTGAGTAGAGGTGACAGAGTCCATCTCTCATCCCACTGAGAGAAGACACCCTGAGCACTCTGGCCTAAGGTTGCTCTGGACAAAAAGTTTTAGAATTCAGGTCCTTTTGAAAGTGAGTGACAGAGCTATAGAAACCATGGCTTTGCCAAAGCCACCACTGTGGTTTCCAAGTTCTTGTCACTGGATCAGAAACACAGTAAACTCAGCAGGGCTCACTGCAGCATCCCAAACAGTGATCCCAAGCAATGGCTTTGGGAATGAAGCACCTGTGTTCAAACTCCAGGAAATATGGACAGAAAATGGACAGAGAGATCCAAACAACTCCTGTTTCTTCACTCTTCATGCCAGGTTGGGGAGAACAAACAATCCCTGTTCTTCATCACAACTGTTACCATTTTGGGAAGGAGATGCAGGCAGGGAATGCCAACCACAAGTATCCCCTGACTTCTTCCACCCTGCATTTTCTGCACAGCACATGGCAACCCAGCATCCTCCCCCACTTCTGCTCTCCAGGGCCCACATCCATCTTCCTAAACTCCACACAAGATCTGCTGGAGTCCAAGTGCATTCCAAGGGCTGCTCCAAGGATTCAGGGACACAGACTGCCAGCACCCTCCTTCACACCAGACTATGCCTGGACAACAACCCTCAGACTTCTACACTTCCTAGTACCAAAGGAGGATGACTGTGTATTAAAGGCAGTGTTTTAAAAAGGGAAGAATATTTTCCAATGAAAAATCAGCATCCTCACAAAACAAAGTCCTAAAGGCACAAACTGGTGAACTAATCAGACCAGGTTACAAGAGGAATTGGAAAGATTCCTGTGGGATTAAAACAAAGGGTTTCACTAGCAACCTAAGTTTCTGAGACAGCATTTAGAACCTCAACCTGTTCCCTTGAGAGCAAGAGGTGGCTCAAGTGGCCCACGATAGCCCATGGACCCTCAGACCAGACAGTACATGCCATGTTTGCCTTATTCCTTCAAGTTTATCTGCTAGCTTCCTAACTAATACTGTTCACACAGATACAGATCTAGAAAGGGTTATAAATACAGGTATTTATATATATTCACACATTGTAGTCCATGTAATAAAGGCCTGGTCCTTTCTCTTCCATGCTGCTGGAGCAGCTGCCACCACTGGTGACATTGGGGGGATGTTCTCAGTGACTGTGTCCAGCCCAGTCCTCCAGTGGACACAGGAGAACACGGATTAGTGCTGAAAGGAGAAATGGGGGGCTCAGCGCAGCCCCATTGTTACTATTTACAGAAAAGAAACCTCTTAGACACAAAGTCCCACCTTCCCTCCAGTTCACAAACCAGCTCTGCTCAGTCCAGCTGGGCTGGAGCCTGCACAGCTCAGCCAGGATAACTTGGATAAAAGGGAGCATCATCCAGACACTTACATTGTAGGCAATAAACAACAACTGGCATGCAACAGTTTGGTTAAAGAAGCCAAAAACCATTGAGGGCCTTAACATTAGAAGTGTGTCCTGATGTGGCCAAGCCAACATGCCAACAGAGGGAATGCTCAAACAACAGGTAACTTCATCTCTGTGACCTAAGCAAACATACGTCAGTTAGTTCCACACAAGTTAAATAAAACACATCCCAAGTGCATGAAGACCTTCAGATTAAGAAAAAATTATTAATCTATGTTTACACTAAATATCTCCTTGCAATGAGTTTTCTCCTGTAACACTATGTATTTTCTTGGATGTAAGAATAGGGGTGGAGAGGGAAGCTGGGATACTTTGTCACAGGCTTCCCCCACTAGAAAATGAAAAGCAGACCCTGCCCCTAAGTTATTACCAACAGCAGCAGTGAGAACCAGCACTTTTTATTTAAATGCCAATCTGAGTTTCCTAGAAATTTTAGTGTTTATGGATTAGATTCCAGTGTTCTTCCTAGAGAGTCAACCTCTTGTTGCCCACAGAGGCTGTGGATTCCCACGCCTGGAATTGTACAAGGCCAGGTTGAATGCAACTTGGAACAACCTGGTCCAGGGGAAGGTTCCCTGACCATAGCAGAGCGGAATGAGTTGACCTTTATGGGCCCTTCCAACACCAAACCATTCCAGGATTCTGTGATTCAGCATATTCCTGTAAAGCACATTTTAGACCAGTGTCAAATGTTCTTCAGCTTGTGAATATCTTACATTTAAAACAACAAGCTTAAAAGCAATTCTCCAGCAATTCCTGTGGGAAGTCTTCAGGGGCTTAGGAAACCAGACTCTCCTCTCAGGATTTCCTCCCCTCCATTTGCCCTCCCACAGCAGCTGGGAACACAATTCAAAGAATTTACTTTTGCACCATAGGGAGCTTCAGAATGGACCTGGCAATCCACGACCACTCCTGCCAGGTGCCATCGCAGCCACACAAGGACATACAGCAGGATTAACACGACAGTCACGGGGTGTCCCTCCCAGGGACAGCGATCTACGGAGATCAAAGACCAGGACAAAGAAGATGCAGCAGAGACTACAGCCCAGAAATTCAGGAGCTTTGGTCTTGAGGTTTCAACATGACCCTGTCGCCACTCAGAGAAAGAGCAGCCACCAAACAGTCAGTGCTATGACCAGGAGAAAGGACATCATAAAGGGAATACGTGGAGAAGGAAAAACGCTAGAGTACAGCTGACACTTTTTGAGTGATTTCTGCTCTTCAGGGATTGCAATAGAAACCTTTGGAAGAGTTGCTTCACTTGCTGGCCGGGGAAAGGCTGTCTCAGTAGGTATCTCCTGCTCTTTTAGTTTGTCTTCATCCTGTACTAACAGAGGCCGTTCCCGTGTCTGCTTTCATGGTAGAAGATCAAGAAAGACAGAGAGAGATGAACAAAAATGACAGATGGAAAGTGCCCAAAATGACACTTGGAGATGTGCAAAGCATGAGGGCAGCTCTTCTCAACATAAAATAAACTGCCCTGGGGAGCAGAGCCGCTGGGGCATGGGTCACACCAGCCCTGGAGCTACAGAATTATGCTACAGCTATGTTCTCTCTGCAGAGCTCATCAACATCTGCATCAGGATCATGGGTGTTTGGTGCCTGCCCTCCCAGAAAAGTGGATGCCCAAAATCTTCCAGAGTGTTTTGGAATTGGAATGGTGAGAAAAACATTTGAAGCATTTGAAACAGGAATGGTGCAGTACAAAATGTGGTCTCTGACAGCTTCCTAATCTACAGTGCCCTTAAAACCCAGCATTTGGAAAATCCAATGGAACAGCCAGACTGCAGAGCAGATACAAAATGCTTTTCCAAAGTTCTGACCAGAGTATCAAAATTTCAACTGGTTTGAAAATTCTATTGAACAAGTGAAAAACTGTAAATCTTAGAAATCCCACGCATGGAACGGGCAGGGTGGCAGTAGAAGCAGTGCAAACTCCTGGAATTTTGCTCTGTGTTTTAGCATTTTTGTTTCTGGAGTCTAAAGAATGATAAAAACCCAGAATGAGTAAATCAGCACACAGGACCATGCAAGGGCTTGAGCACTTCTGCTGAAGAAAGGAAAGATTGTGGGAATGTTGCTGTTCAGTAACTCTACATCCCTTTAGTTTGCCAGCCCTGGTCAAACCCAAGTGTACTTAGGAGAGGAAAAACTTGGCTCTAAGCTCCCTCAGCTGAGCCAACCTCCGCTGGTCAGTGCGGTATTTTGGGACTGGTTCTTTGCACACCCCTAAGTGGTGAGAATTCGGGAGAAAGTAGCTGGGAGACTGGGCAGCAAAAGAAAATATAAAATGCAAGAGTAACATGATCATTAAAACAACAACAACAACAAAAAACCAAAAAACAAAAAAAAAAAAAAAAAAAAAAAAAAAAAAAAAAAAAAAAAAAAAAAAAAAAAAAAAAAAATTTATTNAAAGGAAAGAAAGACAACATAAAAAAAAACAGGGAACAGTTAAATTTTCAGAATTGTTTTTGTCCCCGAATACACGGTTATATTGGTCATGCAGCTTTTTCGAACCAGCCATGCACCAAAATAAGCAAAAATTGAAAGCTGCAAAAGCTGCAGCAGTGCAAAAGTCCTCTGGGTGTGGGTTACGAAACTACTTCATATAGCCAAAAAAAAAAATGTTATCTAGCAGCTGCTGTTGAGTTTTTGCTCGGTGCCATTGCAATAGCAAGTCTGGTTCAGAAGCACAGATCAGAGCAGCAGCTTTAGCTCAAGCCCACCAACCTGTCTCTCAGAAGATGGGACAGTGACTTTCTTGACCTGGACACACAAAGCGTGTTAAGGTTCAGTTGTCTCATAACAAAACATACAGGAATAGCAGACAAGTGGCCCTTGGCAAAAAACCCTTCAGCCACTAAGGCAGGGTGAAAGTATCATCATGAACAGGAGCAATGGCTTTGCACCATGATTTACAATCCTTAATTACCATCTGATTTATGATCCTTCAACACATGCAGGTGAGGGAAAATTTTCTCCCCGGTCAGTGCCTGGGGAAGATGCATTTCCGGAAGTTCATAGCAGGACATAGCAACCTCAGAGTGAGATCATTTCAAAAAGGACCAGATTAAGAAAGAATTCCCAGAAATGCCAATCTAGGGCTGACACCAATTCTGCAGTGCTGCAGACCCACTGCCGTCTTAGGTGGGACAAGCCCACACCATCCAGTTATGGTGACCAGCAGCCTTCCAAGGTCTCAGTGTGGTCACCTTGCAAGAAATTCTTCATAAAAAGCAAGAATAACATTCTTGAACTGCAGCTGTGGAGCTTGAGAGCCTCTGCTCTGTCCCACCCACTAGGCACTGTAAGCAGAGCTCTGCTGCCCACACTCCTCAGGAATCTATGCTGAGGCTCAGCCACAGAGGGTAAAGTCTATCCATGTGTTAAACAGGGTAATCCTAATGACAGGCTGCCCACAAAGGCAGTGGCTGCCCCTGGATCCCTGGAAGTATTCAAGGTCAGGCTGGATGGGGCTTGGAGGAACCCAGGACAAGCAGAAGGTGCCCCTGCCCAAGGCAGGCGTGGGACTGGAGGGACTTTAACTGCCCTTCCAATCGAAACCATTCTGAGATTCTGTAGCAACCAGCCCTGAGTAAGTTCATTTTGGGGATCTCATTTTTCTAGTAGGCAAAAAAAGCCCTTTAGCTGTCCTGGCTTTACTCCAAGCTTTGAGGAGCCTGTAGTAAATTTGGTGTTAAACCCCTTGTACATGTTACAATTATCCTCCATCCACTGAAAGATTATTTCCTGATTAATAAGTATCTGCCTTGTTTGAACATGAAATACTAGTTCATCTACATGGCTGTGGGAAGGAAGGGGAAAAACTGGGCTTTCAACCAAGAGAGTCTTCAATTGCCACCACTAGCACTCAGGATGCAATTTTTCTGTTGCAATAAAAATTGCATTTACCACTTAAAAGACTGATTACCATAGGCATTAATTACAGTTTTACTCACAGACTCCAAATCTGAGCCAGTTACCACCAGTATGACAGAGAGGTGTCTGTTAGCCAAGAAGAAACCAGCTGGTGACTGGTTTTTCCTTGAAAAATTACCTTTTTAAGGAAATTAGCAGAGAAACTGTGAGTGTATGTGGTTACCAACACACAGTTCCTGGAAGGAGGGAGATTCTCATCATGTTTGAACAGCCCTGCTGTGGCCACCCAAGGAATCTTCTCAAAGCCTCCACAGCAGATCAGCACCTGGAGTTCCTAATGCAAGTCTAAACCCAATGACATACCAGATTAACTGGAGAATAAAGTGATTTTGGAAAAATCATCCCATCTCAGTTCTTCTCTACTGGGTCATCTGCAATGTTATCTCTGAAGTAATAATTTAGGTCTTTGGATATGGGTTTGTCAGGGTTTTTTCCACATTTTGGGGAGATCCAGGAATGACCCAGTCCCCAAACCAGCCACGGAAGTGCTCTCTAGCATCTGACACTGACAGCAACACTAGAATAAGTAGCATCAATACCAGTTAAGGAATTCTTACATCCTTCTCTACCAAAAAAATCACATTTTTATGATACTATGACTAAAGCTTCGATTCTCTCAGAGAACATTCTACATATCACAAGTCAATACTAACTATTAAAATTGAAAATAAGCAGAAGCTAAGGGGAGCTGAATCCCCCACTGCAATGCTGCCCTTGGAACAGCCCGTGCCGAGGTACTCACTCCATCCGCTCCCGTGGGAATCTGCCCGTTGACGTTGAGGCTTCGGAAAGGGGAGTGGGTGGACAAACGTTTGTCCCACTCACTCGGCCGAGGCTCGGGGACGGACTCCATGAAGTTCTTCTTCAGCTCACTGATGTTGGCATGGTGCTTCTTTATTTCTTCCTGGGTCTTATCTAGATCCTATCAGCAAAAGGACAGGGTAAGTGAAGGGACACAGAGAGACCTGGGACTGCCTAAGCTGTGCTTAGCAAAGCTGCACTTAGCAGAGCTACACTGGGCTCACACTGCAAACACACAGGGAGCGCTCCTCTCTCCTCCTCTTGGATTAACTGGAATAAACTGCAACCCCAGAACTGGTCTCCTCCAGCAGCGGGACATGCCATTGGTTCATCTCACGCTACAGCAAACCAGGTGACAGCTGAGCTGGAATATAATGGATTTTCCCCAAATAGGATTTTTTAAAGTTGCCAGACTCTGTTTCTTTGGGTTATTTAATGTAACATCTTTACATTTTGCGGGTTTGCTTTCTTCACCCTCTGCTAGCCTGAGTATTTCCAGGTATTAATACAACTGATGATAAAGAAAATGTTTTCTCAATTTTATTTACTTGCTTCATACCTGTTTTTCCTTTTTCCTAGCAGAAATTATCTTTGTTTCCAGAATATCCCCATTACCATTTTTTCCCTTCCCTCTCATCCCTCCAGGAGCTATCATAAGCAGTTTTAGACTTCAGAAACAAAGATGAGATGATTTTTTTTGGAAAAAAATCAAACTGAAAATTTATTTTATGCTGGATCAATCAATCCTGCTAAAATTTTTCATCTGGAAAAAGTCAGATTTTTACTGTGTGATGCCAGTTTAAAGCATAAACACACATACTTCAAGGCAAGTTAACTTGTTAAAAATAGTTCTTCCCTGCAAGCAAACCAGAGGCTGTAGAAAAGAAAGTTTTTGCAGCAGGCAAACAACTTTTCAGGATGGGGCCAAAAAGCAGCAAGAAAGGGGGAAATCAAGGTCAGTAAAAGCACCACCAGGAAATTTCACTCTTTTTGTGTTTTTAGGTGTTACTGAGCCCATCAATTTTAGAAGATGGGACAGCAAATGCATCCCTAAAGGAGTGCCTTCCCAAAAATCTCCATTCCTGCAGCTCACCAAGGACACACCACCCTCCCTCTACAGGACTAACCCCCAAAAGCCTCTTTAAAAATATTTACTTTTTCTGGCACAGTTCTGGGAGGAAAATAACAAATTTTCGCTTCTATCCTAGATGAAAGTATAAGGCAAATGCCTGTTAGGTAGGAAAAAAAAGTAGAAAGGAGTCTGCTGTGGACTCTGGGGTAAATCCCTGCCTGGTCCAAGAACCCTACAGCTGCTCCTGGCTCAGAGAAGAGAGAAGGACCACCATGGCTTTCCAGCACTGCACAGGAGCAGGGCTTGGGAGGGCTGGCAGAGGAGCCAAAGCCACAAGGAGCTACGTGGAGCTGGGTCTGGGAAGCACCTTGAGGAACCAGCTTGCTCAGTGTCACCCTTTCCCTCCTGTTTCACCCTTTCTGCAGGAAGCCACTGCACGTGGAGTGTTAAAAGGCTTTCAGTAAAATTACCAGGCAGCTTCAGGAGGGTGAGGTCTGCCAGGAAAATATCGGATCTGCCAAATGCATGGATTAAAAAAATAAAGGGAATAAAGGGGGTGAGCTGCTTGGCTAGCCCTATGGCAGGGGAGGAGCACCTGCATGGAGCACCTGCAACAGAGCTGTGGGAAGGGGAGTGCAGACGGAAAGGGTTTGGAGTCAAGTATTGCACTGGTGCAAAAAAAGAGGTTAGAAGCAATGACCAAGCTGTGTTTGGGGTTGGGGAATTTGAGCTGTTTGAATTGGGTGAAAAAGCAACAGGCGTGGTCTTCAGTACGCTCTGGCAGCAGCCGAACTCTGCCTATCACGTGCAGACCCCTCACTTGTCACTCAAAACTTGATGTTGTAGCAGTCAAAAAAAGCCAAAAAACCATAACAAAAAAATAACAAACCCCAAGAAACCCACACAGAAGCTCAAAACTTTGAACATTCTGATGAGAAGGCAGTTAGTACACTCCACTTTCAAGAGATATCACCAGGGAAACCCTATGAGTTGCTGGTGCTGCAAGTAGAAACACGTAACACAGGACAAGAGTATCAGAAGCCACAAAACATCTCCCATAACAGAGTGTATTAAAGAAAATAAAATATATGATTGGCATGGTCTGTTCTGAGACTGAGCTTAGGTGAAAACAAGTGGAAAGGGCTCCCAAATCCAAAGAGAGGAGCTGTAATGTGGAAGGATGAGCCGGGATCACTGAGCCTCTCTATCAGATCCAGAGGGACCTGGCACTGAGGCAGGATGGGCTCCAGGGGTGGTGAGGTGCTGCAAGGCCAAAAAGGGCTGGGAAGAGGATGGAAAAGCTGTAAACACCACTGCAGCATCCAAAAAGATCCCTCCTGCCTGAAGCAACATGGACATTATGGTGGCCCGGACACCACAGAGGTGACAATTTCACAGAATCCTGGAATGGTTTGAGTTGGAAGGGAACTTAAAGCCCACCCCATTCTCCCCCTGCCCTGGGCAGGGACACCTTCCACTATCCCCGGTGGCTCCAAACTCCGTCCAATCTGGCCTTGGGACACTTCCAGGGATCCAGCGGCAGCCACAGCTGCTCTGGGCAATCTGCCCCAACTTCACCCGCAGCTTATCCTGAATTTTGTATTTTCACAGACTGGCTTTTTCACCAGGAAAATAATTTGTTTCAAGCAGTGAAAAACTGGTCAGTGAGCCCAGCACTACAATCCATGACCCTCTGAGCAGCCAGCAGGTCCCAGAGCAGATCTGAGCACTGCCAATCATGTATTTTGGGGAGGTATGAGAGAATGAAAGTCAGAAGAGGAAGAAGGAAGAAGGCCTGCACATCATCATGTTTACTGTCACCATGCAGAAGCATAATTAGAAAATCAAATAAAATCAAAAGGTCTTTCATGCAAGAGCATGCAAAAACAAAGGCAGCAGCAGAAGAGGAAGAAGTTCAGCGCAGATGCAGGTTTAGCAAATGCAACTCAAAAAAAGCTTCAAGTTCATACAAACCTCCAACATTAAATTGCTATGCCTGATATAAATGTTTTCACCATCTAGCCTCTTTGATCTCTTCTGTGAAAATGAAAGAAAAGGGGGAAACAAAACAAAACAAAACAAAAAGCACAAAAAATTAAAACGTTGGTCTTGTGGGATCGATAAATCGGCAAATTAAAAAGTTAACTCAGCGTTGGGAGTGCAGCGCTGTGGCAGCATGGGGTGGGAATTCCCACTGGAAATGGGGGTCTGGCTCATGGAGAATGGGAGATGCAATGAGTCCTTTAAAGAGACAGCTCCCAGGGGGCCTTGGCTCTGGCCACAAAGAGACAATTCCTGGTTTTCTGTGGAAGCCTTGAACAGTCACCACACCACATTCCTGAGAGATGCAGGCCCACCTCTGAGTTTGAGGCTGCACTGCCTTGGGGGAATTTTACGAGGTCCAAATGTGCACAGCAACTGCACCTTAACCACTTTCCCGTCTTGGATATTTCCCTATTACTTAATCAATACCAAGGAAGCTTCTCCTGATTTTTGTTTTGCATTTCCTGCAATGCAGGCTACATTTAGTTTCTAACTAAGATTGTTACAGAGAAGAAATTTCATAAATGAAACCACATGTGTTTCTTTTGAACATTCAACATGCATAATTTCAGCAATGAGGTTGTCTGTGGGACAAAAAGCTACTAATTTTCCAATCAAGTATTTGATAGTTTAAAGAAAACCAACACCCCAACCCAAAGTCCATGAAGAAATTGGAGCACTGTCTTTTTAAACAGGTTACAGATGCATGAATGATATGGCAAATTTGGCCAGTGAAACGGTAAAATGGCTAACCTTCCTCATTCTTATCAGCTCTTCCTCTTTTTCTGCAGGCTGCTGCTGTTGCGCAGTGATAAAAAAAAAAAAAAAAAAAGAGTTGTTGGTTCATTTAACTACGTTGAACCTTGGGGAAAAAAAAAAGTGAGCAACCTAAACTGAATTATTAGCACAAACCTGGGGCTGGGCACCATTCGTGATGGGGACTGTGACCTCAATGTGTGTTTTCCTCACCTACATTTAAGAAATAAATTGGTAAAAACATTTCTTGTTAGTAGATTTGTTTCAAGAAACCACATAGTTTCCAAACACAGCTGCATAGAGTTGGTTTTGAAGTGCTGGGGGAACATGCAAAAACCAACATGCAGCTCTGGGCAGGGGTTAATGACACAGCAGCTCCCCAGCACTTTGTTAGTCAACAGCATGTTAAATAATTCCTCCAGCTTGAGAATTATTTGTATTTGAAACCAGTGCTCTCCAGTGCTTCTGAAGAAGGGCTTCCCACTTGCATTAGGCTAGTCAGGCAATGTTTCCAAATGGCATTTGCAGCTGGATCTCTCAGTGAAAATCCAAACAAAGCAACATGCTCAAATTAACACAGACCTTCGCAAAACTAGAAATTATTGGTTGTATCGCAGGTGTTATGTTGGAGGAGGTAGTAAGAAGAGGCATAGCTACAAAACCAAGCCTAACATCACAAATTAGGTTCTCTCGTGTCTATAAGTAGAGAGCCAAGATTGTCTTAACACTCTAAGGGAAGTATTTTAGGGAAACTAGATTACCAAGTACTCTGAATGCAAAAGCATCAGTGGGCGTTAAAAGAAGTGATGCAGCTCCATTGGAGAAACAGTAAATTTAGTACATTCAAATCCACATTTTCCTCTCACATCTATGTTTAAAGGGGAAAAAAATCCAATGTTTAAGCATTTAGGTAGAAGCCTGTAATAAGTAAGATGTGATAAGTAAAATTTCCTCGTTCTCAGTGTAACATGAGGGAGGGGGAGCAGCTGGACAGTAACAGCAGGGCAGCATCTCTGTGGTCTGACTCCCACCCCACCGTGCCAACCTGAAGTTCCCTTCAGCAGTTTCATTTAAAAATTACTGTTCACGCAGGCCATGGAATTTTTTGAAGCAACTGCCCTTTCTTCACCTCCATCTCCAAACCTTAATTAATAGGAATCTTCCCTGGAGATGCTCACAGAAGACCCAATGTTTAGAATTATATGGCTCCAGCAATGCTGAGAACAGCTAAATTTTGGAGTAATGTGAAAACTGTGTCTCAAGGCAAACACTTCTGCTGCACCACTGCAAGGTTTCAATAATTCAGTAATATCTGCTGAATATTAAGGACACTGTAATATCAGCAATAATTTTGCACATTATTTCAACTTATTAGAACAGCGCACACATATCAACCCCAGCAAAGAACTCAGACATTTGCAGAAAGATCAAATAATGGTTAAAAGTACTGAATTTAAACAATAAACTCCCCAAAGTCTCACCAGTGCCATTTTCAACTTAAGTTTTAGTCCAGTTTGCAGCACTGTATTACCAGCTCTCCCAGCAAAAGCCTATCAAGGTGAAAAACATTCTGGCACTGGGCTGCAGAACAGATCCATTATCACTGATTTCACTGGAATTCCCTTCTGCTGTCATACCAGGAATCAGGGGGCACAGCCTGGCCATGGCTGAGCTCTGAACTCTAGTTCCATGATCACATGCAGCTCTTGCCAGTGCTTTTAACCATCTATCAGCAGTCTGCACTTGCTTTGACTACAACCAGCAACACCCAACTGCCCTGGAGCTCCTTCTTCCACCCAGTGTCACAGCTGGGATTTCCCTGGCACACAGACCCCTGTTTGGGATAAACCCCTCATCTCCCAGGACAGAGCTGCTGCTTTGGGGTGACTTTCTTGAGTGATGCTCCAGCCCAGCTCTTCCCAAGAGACTTCGCTCTGACCCACCTTTGAGGCATCCACTGGCTCCTGGGGTTTCTCCAGTGGAAATTCTTCACGTCTCACATCAGATTTTGCTGTTTCCTTCCCTACTTTAGATGTGGCCACGTCCTTCACGGTGGACTTAGCTGGGGCTGGCTCTGCAGGGTGGCTTTGAGCAATGGCCGGGGCTGAGGTAGGCCGGGGACTCCGCTCTGGGGTTATCACAGCCACTGCTGAGGATGGGGGACAGACAGGGACAAGGTTCAGAGCAGGTAACTTCTCAAAGGACTGCACAAAGTCTTTCCAAATTACAGTGCTGTCATTTAAAAAGACGGAGAAGGAGGAGGAGGAGGATGAAAAAAAAGGGAAAAGAAATAAAGATGTTGAGCAAAGCAGCTTGTGCATTTAGTACAGGAGAGTTGAGATTATTTTCCTTATGGTTTAAAATAAAATCAAATAAAACCCCATACCAGATGGTTTACAGAAAGCAAGCTTGTACTCTGCAGAGAAGCCACACCAGAAAGGCAAATCTATTTTTGACATTGTGCCATGAATTTCTGGGTCCTTCACACACAACTGACACGGACTCCATTCCAATGCAAAAGACACTAGAAAAGACACAGCATGAGGAGTTCTGTACTCATGGGCATCTCCTCACACAGAAACAGATGGCTTCTGGAAGAAAAAACATAGGCTTTCACCCCCCCACCAAAAAAATAATCAACAAGCATCGCTCTAGCAAAATTCTCAGCAACTTCCCGGTGGGTTTCAAGGCAGGCTTGTGTCCGAGCTGGATATCTCAAGGCAGCACAGTGGGAAGATATCCAGCACCTCCAGGCCAGTGACAGTGCAGAAATGAACAGCATGCTGCCAAAAATCATCTTTTCAGAGGATGACAGTTGTAAATACAAACACTCCACACAAAATCAACTGCCTACTCCTTTCCTTCAATTCCTGATTTGCCAGCTAGTTGCCCAACCCCAAGGAAATAGTCAAGCCAAAGCTGTGTGACAAAGCAAGCCCAAAGTGATTTCCTGTGTGAACCTAGGTATATAATAAGCTATTTGGTTCTCCTGATGTTGGTTTTTAGGGATGTTTCACCAAAAAGATACCCTGTCACACAAAAAAATATCTTTGATGTGGTCTCACATTCCCAAAATCACAATTTGCAGCATACTGTGAATCATATTCCAGCCAACATGACATCACTCATGTCCAGCCAGTCACTCCCAGAAATATTGCTTTTAGAATAAAAATTGTAATTTCAAGCAACTCCTTAGTAAGAATTCCTGTTGTACTGAAAAGGTAACAACATCTCATCTGTGTCTTAATAAAACATAGAGAGAATAAGGTGTCTATGTGGCCAAAATGTACAAGGTGGAGGCAAAAAAAGATTTTTTTTTTAAATTTCTGAATTTCCAGAGATTGGAATGACATTTTCAAGACAAACTCCTGGACACCACATCCTCTTGTAAACAACCTTAAAACCCACCCCACCACTGCCAGCTCCACTCTCTCCCTGCTCCTTGGCACAGCAGTTCATTTCTGTGACCCAGACAGTTCATTTCTGTGTTATCCTCTTCAAAGGACAATCGGTGCTGTGTCCCAGTGTATTCATGTCACGGAAGCAGTGACAGCTGCTGGGAAGGTTGTACAGAGGTGAGATGGCAGGGATGGCCGGGATGAGGAGGATGCTGGGAGTGCAAAGCTGTCATTGCTGTGGTACCTGACTCCTTCGGCAACGGCTCTAGTTCTCTCACCATCATCATTTTCTCTTCCTCCTCCTCCTCTTCAATTGGGCTTATCTCAATACTGCCAAGATCACGTTTGGCTAAAAAAGTTATGGATGTGTTAAAATGCCACCTTAAAGAGGAAGCAGCAAAGGAAATATTGCCACCAGTAAATCCGCAGGGCCATCTCTCTTGCTGCTCTCCCAGAGTATCAAGACATGCAGGAAAAATGGTAACAGACACCAAGCTTCTCCTGTGCCATCCAACAATGAGTTCTGGGCTACCAGAACTATATTTTAGTTCCATTTTCGTGATTAACTGCCTTTGACTATTTTAACACATGATTTAAACACAGTAAAAAGCACTGAGATATAAAACATAGGTTGGAACTGGATGATTTTTAAGGTGCCTTGCAAGCCAAACCTCTCCAGAATTCTACGACTGATCATCATCACCATGGCCATCACCTCACCAACAGCCCCTACTGGGAGCAGAAAAGCCAGGATGAGGGAAAGTGCAGGAAGTGGATGAGAAGGGGCAGCTACAGCAGGAGAGCCTTGGATGTGCTCAGGTCTGACACCAGCTGGTGTCTGATCTGCTGCCACACATCCCATGGAATACAGAATCACGGAATCTGCTGAGGTGGAAAACACCCACAGGGATCATTGAGTCCGATTCCTGGTCCTGCACAGAACATCTCAACAACCCCATCCGGTGCCTGAAAGCATTGCCCAAATGTTCCTGGAGCTCTGGCAGCCTTGGGGCCATGACTGTTTCTCCAGTGGTTTTCATAGCAATCAAGGAAACATGTGATGTTCCCAGTTACTTCCCTCTATGGCTTCAAACTCCTCTTCCTGCAACAAATAATCAACTCTACTTTTAATTATGATTAATATGGATCTGTCTGCAGCAACAATGTTGCTCTGACATTCTTCCCCAACTAGACAAGTAGCAGCTCCCTAGTGAAGAAATAAAGTGGAATATAGGTGACCTCCAGCAGTCCCAGATCTCATAACCTGATTTACAGGCACTGTATGCTCCTGCAGCTCAGGGGAACAAACCTCACAAGAAGGGAAGTATGGGAGGAGTTTTAAGAGGCACTGCACACTCATTTCCACACACAGCCAGGGCATAGCACCCTCTCACTGCACCCAGTGAACACCTGAAAAGCAGCACACGGCAAAGCCAGGAGTGATTTTAGTGCCAACAAACACCACCACAAACAGTGTAACCTCTGTCCTACAGCACTGCATCACTTTACCCCAGCAGCATCAGCACAGAAGCCACTGCCACCAAACACCACTGCAGCTGTACCTGACCACGGCTGCACCAGCTCCACTGACTTTGGCTTGACAACAGGAACCTTAACGACCTCTACCTTCTCCTCCTCCTCTTCCTCCTCTGCAATGGGTTTCATTTCAAAAGTTTCAAGAGTGTGTTTGGCTAGAAAGAGGTTTGCAGGTGTTAATGGGGGTTGAGGACCCACACAAACACACGATGGTCACCACAGCAAGGAGTGAAGAGATCCTTCTCAGCAGACGGGAGCAGCAAGGAGGTTTGCAGGCAGCTCAATAGTAATTTTCCACCATGGAACTGTGTGTCAATCCTTTTAGTGCTGTCAGACCCAACAGTGTATTGGATGAGAGGAGGAAAGAACACAAAAATAAGCTCTATGGACTCCTTGCCCAGGAAAGGAGACGTGGGACACATGAACAGTTCTTGAGCATGGAACTAGGAAGGGCTCTGCCTGCAAAGTCTGGAGTGAAGCAGGTGCTGGCTGGCAAAATCCAGGAAAAACACATCCAGACAAAAAAAGCTATCCAAAATCTAGCAGTTTTAATTAAAAGCACTCGAGTGATCAACTTCAAAACTACCCTGGTGTCTGAAATTCCCCACCTTCTGCTTTTACAGCACTGGGTTTTCCCCACCAGGAGATGCTGGTGGGGAAAGAGATTAGTGAGGATTCAAGGAATGCCCATGGAGAGGAATTTTGCCACACTTCATGAAAACTTGATCTAGATACTAGAAAAGCAGTCATGCAGTTCAAAAAATTCTGGGTGATAGGAGGATACCCAAAGCATTTGCATATGAATTATCTCCAGCCCTAACACTACAGGTGGTCACTATCCAAGACATGAACAATGCAAATATTTGCAACACTGCTGCTGTGATACACTTATGAGTATTCAAATATGCTGTCGTACCTAGACACCTCTTAAGGACATTGATATTTATTAACAGTACCTATTCTAAGAGAAAGATAAACTCCACAGAGGAAAATGGGTAGCATTTCTCAAACACCAAAAACACCCAACCCAAAATGGCAAGGAGGTTCTGGGATGAAGAATTTCAGAAGCTTCATGACAAGTTTCAAGATCAAAACTTGAAAACCTAAAGTTTTCAAATCCATATATACAAAACTACCCACATTTAACAAGACAGTTCTCAAGCGCCAGCACATCCTAACCTTTTCCCCACCTCCCCACAAGAACTGCAGTCTAATGAGGTGCAAGGTGGAAATTTAAGGGGTCTTCCAGAGCTGGGCTGTGTCTCTTCTCATTGGGAAACTCTTTCTTTCTTGCAAAGAAATGAAGAGAGAAAGCCACCAGATTTGGTGAAAATTGGAAATTGTCAGGAACGAGCATGTAGAGGACAGGAAAGGCACTGCAGAGAGTTTCAGCCACCACCACAGCTATACCTGGCTTCTCTCGGATCTGATCCACAGGTTTTGGTTCAGGAACCTCAATCAACACCACCTCCTTCTGCTTTTCTTCCTCTATGGTTCTGAACTCAACCTTTTGAGTCGCACGTTTAGCTGAAGAAACGGGGCACATGTTAACGACCGCCCGCACGGCAAAGGCGCAGATGTAAGGGGGCAGGAGTGTCACATTCCCAGGCTGTTCTTCTCCCAGACCTGACATCCAGGTGTAGCACTGCAGCTGCAATTTCTCTACTCAGCTGGAGTCATAATGGCATGGTCAACAGGCAACCAGCAGCACTGGCTCCCTCGCTGCTGTGCACCATGCCGGAGGAATCTGGCATGCGCAGACTGCAGGGAAGCTGGAATGTGGCTTTGCTGCCTTATGGAGCTTGAACCATCCCTTCCCTCCAGCTCCACAACATAAAACCCAGGCTCAGAATGCCATTGAGCCCAGAAGCAGGGACAGCCTGGCTGCTGCTGGCCACAGGGTGCTGAGCAGCCCTGGTCCCCCCAGGCTACAAAACCCAGGGATCAAAGCAACACGGTCCCTGCTCCATCAGGCAGGTGTCCGTGGTGCACAGGGATGCTCCTCTTTCCCTGGATCTTAATACCCTGTAATAAAGATCATGTGGACCAAACTTAGGCACCCCCTTTTCCATGCCTCACCTCTTCTGCTGCAATCAATTTCTTTTAAAAATCTCAGGGATGAGCCCATCTGACTGACACACCTCAACTCCAACCTGAGCATCACTTTAAGAGACACTGAAGAAGTTTCTATCATGGCAAAAAATCTCCCCCTCACGTAAAACTACAGAATTTAAGAAGTCATATTAAACAAAACAAACAGAATGGCTTAACTCCTGATTTTCTAAAGGAAAATGCTTTGAGATCAAATGAAGAAATACCTTTACAAGCAGAACTTAGCCATAAGCCTTCAGCACCTACCTAAATTCTTTTCATCAGTCAGTTCTGCTGGGACCACCCTTGGTTTGCATTTCTGTATTGGGTCTGGCTGAGATGCAGTTCATTTACCCATAACAGCCCTCACAGCGCTGTGATGTTGAGATAAGGATAAAAACTGGGAGAGGTAATGGGCAAAAGTACTGAGCAATGTTAGAGAGCAGAATGATCATGAGGAATTCTTGTTGTAATTGTGGTGAAAGGAAAAGGGGTGGATTAGGTGCAAATTGTCCACTTTTGTTCTGTATTGGGGGAATTTTTTGTTTGGTTGTGTGGTTTTGTTGATGTGAATGAAGGTTGTGTGATGAATCAGAATTTTCTGAGTTGGAAGGGACCCATCAAGGATCATTGAGTCCAACTCAGAATCAGAGAATCACAGAATACCCTGAGCTGGAAGGGTTCCATAAGGATCAGAGTCTAACTTTCACCACTAAGTGAATGGCCAATATGGGGAACAAACCCATTCCTGTGGTGTTATCAGCACCCTGCTCTAACCAACTGAGCACCAATTCAGTCTCACTACAGGCACATAATTCCTAAACACGTAAGGGGCAGGAACAAGGTCTTGTACTACAGTGACAACTTAAGCCTGCATTTTTGTACAGCAGGGAATCCAGGTGTTCCTAAAGGAGTACTTCAGCATCCTGGGGTAAGGGAGAAAGAAGATGCAGCAAGGACTGACTCACCTCCATCGAGGCTTCTGGACGCCCTCTTGCTGGCTGTGCGCTCGAACTGGGGCGCGGGTCGGTCGATCAGCGCGCTCGCCTGCCGCGTCTGTGCCTGCGTCCGGCCACTGTAGCGGAATTTGGAGCCCAGTGCCAGGAACCTGCTCTTCGGGATGGCCTCAGTGGAAGTCAGCCTGAAAGACACACACATTTAAATATCACAACTCCAAAGCCAGGAAGGGGCATGTGAAGAAGAATTGAAATAGAAATTAAAGGAGTCTCTTGCATCCACTTGGCCAAGGAAATGCACATACTAATGGTGTTGCACAGCTACGTGACCCAAAGATCTCTGTCTTATGGGTCTTACAAAGCAGAACTCACTTGAAAATTTTCTGCAAAATAAACACCTACTGTCCCTGAAACCATTTCTCTCCCATTTTTCCGAAAAGCTAAGGAACAATGTTCATTTTCAATAGTTAAATTCAAGCGCTAAGTTCCTCAGGGTGAGGCTACTGTTTAGAAAACCCACCTGAAGAAGGTGTGATGTTCAACACATACTTTCCAGAGCTTCTTTGCTGCCCGGTAACTTGGTAGCTTGAACCCAATTGTACTTTCATACTGTTCTTGCTGTGGAAAGCACAAGTTATTTAGGTATAGCAGGAAATAAATGTGGTAGGAGCCCAGTCCCCAGCCCACCACCCTGGTCCGCTGTGGCACAAACTGCTGAACTTGGCCCAAAATGTGCAGCAGGACCTCAGGTCAGAGGAAAGAGAGGGTTTGGCCACTAGCCCAGGCATCCCTCAGGATGCACAGGGATTTGCAGAGCAACGTGCTGTGGGTTTATCCCCCCGTCATACTGCCCAGCTGTGGGCTGAGGTCTAATACTGACCTCCCTACAAGGCTGGGTCATGGCAGTCAAAGCAGGAGAAGGAGGAAGAAGAGGAAAGAGGTGAATCCGTACTGTAGCCTCTCTCCCTAATGTAACCAGGCTGCTCCAGGGATTTTCATGAGAGGCAGCACCAATGCATCCATTCCCTGCTTCCTGCACTTAGATGAAAAGCTAATTCTAATTTTTAATTATTTTCTTTGAATGCAAGCAAGACAAAGAGCATTGTCTTGCTCCGTTTCCAAAAAATGAGTTAGTTCTGCCCCAATTTCATCTGTCAACCTCCCATGCCTTTCCCCGGATGCTGGGAATACCCAGTGATGCCAGGAGGTGGTGCTGGATGACACGTTGTTACACTGTCACCAGCTGGCTTGGAGCTTCACGGGGGATCAGACACTCCGATGTCAAACCATCCTGCAGAGAAGAGCCTGACCCCACCCCGCTCCGTTCCAAGGACACACACACCGTGAGGATCCCAAGGAAACAGAGGATGAGAGGGGCCCACAGGAGCCAGTCGTACCTCCCCTGGCCGAATCTTTATGAAGAAGCTGCTGCGTTTGTAGGAAATCTTCAGGACTTTGGGCCATGGGAAGCGGTTGATTCTCAGTTTATCTTTGTAAACAAGAAGGCCACTGGAACAGACTCCCAGAGTGATATCCACTCCTTCCAAGTCCTGGGAATGCAGATGAGGATTTGAGCAGTGTCAGGTTTATGAGCTTCATGTCAACAGCTGCCTTCCAAATTATCCCTCTGGTCTTCCCATAAATTCATCTCCCCACCACCCGGATTCCAACTCTCAGATCCATGGCCACCCTTCCTTTTCTTTCACACTTTTCCTGACAACCTCCTCCCTCCTCCTGATCTCTCCTGTTCTGCTGGTTGCCCAAAAGGCTCATCAAGAGCCCATCCTGCATTTCCTGGAGCACGGAGGCTCATGTGGCAGGGAATATATATTGTATTCTAAGCTACTCAGAACAAAGACCTGTCTATATGAGGAGCTTTGGAAAGTTTCCTGTGACATATAAATGATAAGCAACCACAAACAATCACTTCTCTTGCAGGAATGCCTGAGGCATTCCTGTTATATGTCAGTATTTCCATACTTCTTCTCTTTCCAAAGGAGCTTCCCAAAACAGGTAAACTTGCTCCTGCAAGGGAATGATAATCAAATTACAAAATCCATCAGTAGATGCACACACGCTGGCTCACCTTGGCTTGGTGAAGGTCAACTCCATACATAGACAGCTTTTTTGCATTCTCAAGAAATTCCAGGTCTGCTTGGGCTGGAGTCATGGATCTGCAGAAAAAGAAAGGGATCAGTATTCTCAAAACTGTTGCTTTTAAGAGGAGACAGATCAGACTTCATGAAATCCATTTTCCATTTTGAATAGATTTTCTTTTGCTTTCAACATAAAAAAATCTGTGCCCAGATAATGAATTATGAAATCACTCTTACTGCCCAAATTTGTGCTTTGAGACATCCCAATAACATGGCTGCACTTTATTCCTGTGAAGCTGTAAAGGCACTAGAGAAGGAAGTGAGGAAGAGCAGTGAGGGGACAAAACTTGATTCAGCAGAAGAAATGCAACTGAGCAAAAGGTGACCGGTCCTATTCCCCGCAGACGTCCCCAAACCCAGCTATTGTTCTCCAACCAAACACACGGACAGCTGAAACCACTCAGCAGAGATTCCAACCGGGGAACCAGATGAATGAGGGGTTTTCTGGGAACAGATGGTGCCCTGTCTGCAGGAGGGGCACAATTTAACAAAGACATCCTGATAATGGAGGCCATTATCAACGTTATTGAAGTGTCCCTGTTAATACATTTCTGGTGTATGAGGTACATTAACAGCTCTGCTGGGAGAGGATTCAGCTGCATACATTTCATTTTCTACCCTCCTTTGATGTCTTCCTTACTGAGTGCTCACATACATCTTGTGTGTGATGTAAATAGAGGTTTGAGCGTGGGAGACAGGGCAAAGTCCAGGGTAAGGACAATCCTGTAGGAAAGCCCCAGGAGCAGTCACCATCCTGATATGTGCCTTGTGCTTTGCAAATACAGTAGCAAGAGCCAGAAGACGGTTTAGCAGAGATTTCCCTGGAAATGTCCAAAGAACACATGGATGTTACACTTGGGGACATAGTTTAGTGGTGGGCTTGGCAGTGCTGGGTAATGGCTGGACTCAATGGTCTTCAAGGCCTTTTACAACCTAAACAATTCCATGATTCTGTGATTCCCACTGAAAACCCTCTGAAGTTTAATGTTCACAAAATATAGACCAGAAATTAAATGGGGACGTGTTGTTTTCTCCAGCACATGCAGACAGATTAAATATAACTACATCTTATACATTAAAGTCTCCTGGTGAGGGCATGAATAATTCAGCACTGTGATCCACCACTTCTAGTATAGCAAATGGCCTTTGACTCCAAGTCATGAAGCTTGTCAGAGGCCCAGTACTTATTTTCCTTAATTTCCTCTCCTCTCAGTGTAAATGGAGGGGAATCAATTTAAAATATTGATTTGCAGGCTTGAGTGAGGTGTTGAGTGGTCACAGCCACAGCCCACATCCACCCTTCCCAATGTGCTCCAGTTTTTTGCTCCCATCTGCCTGTCAGACAAGAAAGACAAGAAAGTCTTGTCTTTGCTCCATCTTTTCCTTTCTAGGGAGATATGTCCAAAATAGGATGAGGACAAGGTTTACCCTTGAATCTGATACCAGAGAGAGTCCCAGGAGTTGTTCAACCCTACCTTAACCAGATGCACCTGAACCTGCCGAGGTCATGGCTGCACTAGGAAACACTTACTGCAGGTTTGGAACTCCTGGCTCACCTGGAATCCTTCCACATTAGGAAATGAATGTTACTCACTAAATGGGAGTAGAAGAATGCCCAAACAGGCTGTAGGCTACAGTGTGTAAACAGAGAAACTAGATCAAACTCCAATCCAAAATTATAAAAATCCCAAAGAAATGTATTTTAAAAAGGTAAAAGGCAAGGTTAAAACAAGTAAATTTTGCATTTGCACATGAACTAAACCCCACTTTCATGGCTAGTCTGTGGGGGAAAAAAAGCACTTGTTACTAAATAATTGCAAGACTTCCTATCTGCTTTCTGAAAATGTAATTTCTTCTTCATGCAGGAAAAAAGAGCTCCTGCTTCTTGAAAGATTTTGTCTAAAGTATTAAATTTTTTGTTAAAAGCTAATGTTCACAGAGTCATCATAAAATCACAGAATGATCTGGATTGGAAGAGCCCTCAAAGATCATCTTGTTCCACCCACTGCCATTGGCAAGGACACCATCCACTATCCCAGGCTGCTCCAAGCCCCATCCAACATGGCCAAGAACACTTCCAGGGATGGGACATCCAGAGGTTTTCTGTATCTCACAGGGGTGGGGAAAACACCAGAAAATCCCTTTATTTCCCTTATTTCGTGTTGGTGTGCACAAACAAGTCCTCCAGCCACGCTGTGCCTTACCTATATGTTTTATGAAGCTCCACAACCTTTTCTTCAAGCTCTTTTGTCTGGTTTGGGGCCAGTTTGAATTCACTGATGTAATCTGGGCCATGGAGATCAGGATCATAGTCTCCCAATTCTGACTGGACCGTGTAGGAACCCAGCAGAGCCAAGGTGGCAAAGGAGCAGGGCAGCCGCCCTGTAAGGATGTCCTGTCTAAGCTGCAGACACAGGTAATACCTGAGGGCAGAAAGGAAAATACTATTCACAGAGAACAGAGAGAAATTTATAAACTTGAGGATCAGCCTCTTTTTTAATGCCACTGATGAACATATGACAATGCTTGTTTCCAATTTTAACTTATTCCCAAGGTAAACAGCATTGAGGACTGGGGCCTTCAAGGTCACCCCCACTCTGCTAAGGGTGTAAAGGACATTTTGACCAGAAAATCTTGGCTTTAGGTAGGAATTTACTTTTCTGTATGAACACGCACATGGCAGAGTTATAAATGACACTGCTTTACACATGGACTCCAGTGGAGTGTGGGAGCATCCTCACATCCACTAAAAGTAAACCAAACCCCCTCCAAATGGTGAAGGCATCTGATCTCCTTCCTGAAGGAGGAAAAATCACCCAAATATGAAACATTTCTATTCCATATCCAGGAGAACACAGCAGTAGGATTCCTGGATAACTCACCTGGTGATGTCCTCTGTTAGCTGGGCAGGATCTGGCGGATAAAACTTGACATTGAAGGTAAAATCCCATGGGCCCCCTGCAATGACAAGGGAGAGCTTGAGAAAAATAAACACACTGGGACAGCTTTGTGATGATCAGTTGATATAAAAGAGCTGGGAATGGCCAATCTGATCTTCAGAATTTAGCAGATGTAACACTGATTTGATACTGCTTGCTCTCACAGTTGGCTGCAGCTTAACACCTGTGTAAGCGTAAGATGTAATTTCATTTACAGCAGGTAAAAAAAGCAGGAGAAAAAAAAGCAAGGCAGGGAAAATCACCTGGATTAAGCACAACTTGTGGCAAAAATTAAATTAATTGCTAAAAAGCCCAATGACTGACATATTTTTTCATTGACTGAAAAGGGATTCATGACAATAGATCAGGCATAGACTATAAATTAATGAATTGGTTGTTTGACCAATTGAATGAATTGGTTTACTGCTTAACCCAAATTTCAAAGTTCAAGGAAGGCTGTGCTAAGTCACTCCTCAGCCTAATGCACTGGGATCAGGTGCTCACACACAGCTTAAACTTAGCCCAACACCAGCATCAACCTCTGGATGAAGACAGAAAGCACCAAGATAGGAAGAGCTTTTCAAGTCCAGACCTAATTACTTAAATACACCTTGTTGCAAACCTTGTATAGCACCATTGCAGGCATTAACTGAGTCAGAGTTCACATAAACACACAAAGAATTGGCATGATATGTGGTATGGACAGCCCAGATGACACAGCTGAAGAGGTAACTCTCTCTTTTCCTTGAAAATAATCCCACTTCCTAGTAGAAGATAGTCCTGAGTGATTTCCATAGTTACATCTCCCCCTGCTGTGCCCTTTAACACTAGTTCAAAATAAGATTTATTTCAGAAAGAGAAGATCTACCCCTGCACTTAACTCGCTCGGAGGTTTATCCCTATCTCACACAGGGAACGGGGAATGGAGCATTCCTGGATTTACTGCTTATGCAATGCCATAACTGGGATTAAACACAAAGCACATTGTTTTCATCACACACAGTTCAAAACAAGTGATTCCAAGGTGACAATGAAGGGAGCAGAGGTTACCCAAACCACCACACACAGGTGTCCACACATTCATATGTACATGCAAAATACCTTCACTTCAAGTAAAATCAAGTAATTTGCCATTTAACCATCCCCAGGGGACCAGATCTCACAGCAGGCTGCTAATTTATTACATTCACTGGATGAATTTTATGTATGGAGCAGCTCCTGCCCTTCACGTGCACCCTGCTACTGATTCCAAGAGAAGATGGTAAGACCAAGAGCTTCCCCTTCCCCACAGCCTTGCACTGCACCCCTAATCTGCATTTTAATGACATACTTTGTTCTCGGCCTCCCACCAAAAGGATCCAAAAAACAGTATTTGCCTTCCAAAAACTTCTGAAGCAGTCAGACTTGCTCCCAAGAGAAAACAAAAGCCTCTAAAACATACTTAATTTTGACACTGCCCTCATCTTGAACTAATTCAGAGCTAGCAGACCTTAAAACACAACTTGGGAGAGCATCTGGTATTTGAGCTGGTATTTCTCAAGTCATTTATCATTCCATTGATATTTAGGCCTCAAAACAGCCTCACAGTCCATAAAACCTTGTTCCACCATAAAATTCTGCTTGGGGTCCCCCAATCTCCTTTGGGATTTCAGTGGTTCCCACTGACACCCATTTTCCTATCCTCCAGCAAGGAGCACACCCCCATTTCAGCACTGCATTGACCGTGTGGCTTTGCTTCAGGCAAAACACACCTCAAGCTGTTTTGCCAAGAAAATGACATTTTTTCCTAAATCTAGATTAAGAAGATCTTAAGAAGGCCAGAAAGAATGCACAGACTGCTTGAACTTGTACTGATCCCTGCCAGCCACCCTCACTTGACCTCTCTCCATCCCTGGGCCCCCTGGATGGCTCAGCAAAGCCACATTGGGAGAAACCACACACCCCCCACAAGATAAATTAAATCTACTTACCATGAACCTGCTTTTTTATTTCTTTGGCAGGATCCAGCCAAGTCTGTAAGAGAATAAAAACATTCACAGTTTACCAGACAGTCCAGAAACACCACAGAAAGCTGAAAATTGCTAAAAATACAGAAAAGAAAATTATAAAAAAAAAAAAAGGACAATATTTGACACAAAGGCAGCCATGGAAATTGAAGAGATCGTGCATTCTTCATTACTTTCACTCCAGGCTGTGGTCTCCATGGGTGTACTTCCAACCATTCACCTACCAGGCACTCATAAGGGAGGCAGGAGTAACAAGAGAAGGAAAAAAAAAAAAGGCAGATTATTTAGGGCTGCAAGAACAGAGTAACAGTTATGGCCACAGTCACATCCAGTTACCAGGGGTACTTGTACAACACCTATTTTATTCTCCACAACCCTTAAAAATAGGAAAATAGGACAGATACATTAACTTTAAGCACCCTGCCTCCTTACTTACCCTATTCAGATCAAAGATCACCAAGGCTTTCTATTATTAGCTATAGTTTTTCAATGACCTAATTGCTGAAATACAAGTAAAAACACCCAATTCCTGAGTAAGGCTGGAATTTTTTACAGGAGTGTGACATAAACTTCATGTCTTTTAACTATGACTCAAGTTTCTAGTATTATCTCTGCTACAAATTTAGAAATATATTTTTTCCCCCTCCTCCGTAATTTGGGGTTTTGTGGGATGGTGGTGCAATTTAAACCTCAAAACACAATTCCAGCTTTTTCCATGGTCTGAGCCTTTCCCTTTGCAGGAGTCAGGGCCTGTCCTGCTGCAGGCACTGGCAGTGGGCTAGCAACCCTCCTGGAGAGGTTACATTTAACCACCTCTTCATTTTCACCAGCTCTAAATAGGATTTGGACGTCCAGGTCTCCCGAGGTGAAGGAATTAACTCATTGAATCCCCCAAGCTAATCTCTCCTGACCAGAAGGACACATAACTTCATGGCACAGAGACAGCAATACTCACATTTAATCTCCTCTTTTTATATGCCTACGCTAACATATAAAAGTGGGGATACAAAATCCATTTGAAAAACCCATTTGCTGTCTTTTTAGAGCCACAACTTGGAGCACAGCATCTCCATGGCTGAGCTGGTGTCACAACTACTCGTTACTGGGGTGAGCCCAGGGTGCAGTCATGCATCCCACCCTGCCTGATCCAGCAGACAATGATGGGAACAGCAATTAACAGCACTTTTAACCCACTGGGTCATGAATCAGTGGGAAACAAGCCTCCCTTTCAGGGCAAGGAGCTCCTTGCTGCTCCACGGTGCCCAGCTGCTCCAGCCACTGTCACAACCTCCTAATCCCACTGTCGCCGTCTGCTATGCCCATGTGGGTAATTACTGGTCCTCAGAAAGTTTATTCCCTAGATATCAAGGTGGAAAATGTCACATACAACCCTTCCCTATCCAGGAATATACACGTGTATCTTCACCTGCTCTACACAGCTGCAAGTGAGGTGCAGGAGTGTCACCATGATATTTTATGAAAAATCCTTTGCTAGGATTTTTCTCCTAGCTGAGAAGCATCAGAAAAGAAATGTAAACAATTAACTATCTGATGGCTGTGAAATGTGGTCTGGACATTGTTTACCAACAGTACATCTTAGATTGGTCCATGTGGATTGTTTTCACTTGATGACCGATCACAGCCACCTGTGTCGAGGCTGTGAGCAGTCACAAGCTCTTTGTTATGCATTCCATTCTTGTTCTTTCTAGCCTTCTGATGAATCCTTTTTCTCTATTCTTTTAGTATAGTTTTAATGTATCATTTTAATATAATATGTATCATAATATAATAAACCAGCCTTCTGAAACATGGAGTCAAGATTCTCATCCTTCCACTCATCCCGGGAGCACCCCACAAAGCATTCACCACACAGGAGCTCATCCCTGGATCCTAGTAACACCATGCCACCTGTGAATCAGTAACCATGGGGAGGTCTTGCTGAAGTTACAGCAGGAGAGCTTCAGATTTCAAAGTACAATGAAACATAACCAGAAAGATTAAAAAAAAAAAATAATGGTGTTTTCACCCATCAGAGCAAACCAAACCAGCTTGCTCCACACTGGAGCTGAACAACCTACAGACAGTGGCCTCATCTGCCCCAGCTGCCAGCTCTGGGACACAGATCTGAAAAACAATCTCTTTTCAGTCCCTACATTTAAACAGCTGCACAACCTCTCAGCCCTTGTTGGTTTGGGGGAGAGGGTACATGCTTCTGCTTCCAGAAGAATCAATGCCAAAAGCCTGGGCACAAGAAGAGCAAGTCCGAGGGTCTGGGAAACCATAGAATCATTTAGGAAAGGTCCTCTAAGATCATCAAGTCCAATCATTACTCCAGCACTGCCAAGGTTAGCACTAGGCAGTGTCTGCAATGCCACATCTATAAGCTTTTTGATCACTTCCAGGGACATTCCACCACTTCCTAGGGCGGCCTGAGCCAAGGGCTTGACAACCTCTTCCAGGAAGGAATTTTTCCTAATATCCAAATGCAGCAGTGAGCTGCCCACAGCACATGCAGAAGAAGCTGAGCTGCTCCAGCTACACTCTTTTTGCTCTTAATTGGATCTAAAAGTACATCTACCCCTCCCTCTGCAAGAACGAACTCTGATAAAAAAAAAATCCTCTGATATAAAAAATATCCAGGTTACATACATGGAAACACATTTCACATCCAAGAAAACTGGAAGACACCAGAGACTGTAAAACAAAGTAGGAGTTCTGCCTGTCTCAAACAGTGTTATTTTTGGTTGTTATCTTGCCTGTGTATAACACAATACAAAGTATTTAATGACAGACATCTGTCAGTCAGTAACCTGGCCACAGGGGATTGTTGAAGGTGAAGCAGAGGAAGAGTCAGAATACAGACCAACATAACTGGTCTTAAGGACACAGAATTGGGCCCTTCATTTCAATTATCTCACTTTTGGCTTTATGAAATAGACCCCTAAAGTAATTGTTGAGTTAAAGGGTAACCAAGGTCTCAATAGACTGCTTGAGTCAAATCAAACAAAGACCTTAAATTGAAACCATAAGTAGGAGCTTTGGTAGAAAGCCACATCTGTTCTTCTGCAGGGCAAATGCTCTGGATGGCTCCAACCAAACCTTCCCAATGCTGACACCAGTGCCAGAGCAGCCTGACTCCTTCAGCTTTGTAACTTAATGACATAATTTTGCAGTGAACTAATATAATGACTTTTCTCCAGGTGAAGACCCAAGTTCACTAGGATTCATTCTATGATTCACATAGCTTTTTGACAAAAATCCACACTCCTGTAGTCATTTATTCACTATTTCTTCCTGTGTCATGACCTGCAATCCATATGTAGGGAGGACACCAAAACAAGTTTGCAGAGAGCTTTTGCCCCACTTCCTGCCCTGGGGAGATGATGCAGAAAGAGCTGAATCCCCCTTGAGACCAACAGCTGCTTACCCTGGAGGTTGGTGTGTCCCATGTAGCCAAACCAAAGTAGTCTTCTTCCAGCAGATTGAGGTGGTCACAGACTTTTTTAAGTAGATCCTGTCCCTTAGTGTGTTTCTGCAAATAGACAAAGAAATCCTGTAGGACAGGGCTGGGTTTTGTCTTTGCTCACAGGAGAGGGGAAGAAGGGAATAGGATGAAACACACTGTGCACTATCAGTAAGGGGAAAAAAGGTCCTGAGTAGCTCCAAATCTTACCTCCTGACTGTTTCAGAGCAAGGACTCCTTACAGGAAAGGGCATAAAAATTCCAGAGGCAGCCAGACATAAAACTTCCACGGAGGCAACAAGAACCACAGTGGGTCTCTCTCTTCCCACCAGCTCCATGTCTGAAAATCCCCCAAAGCTGGACTTTCCAACACAGCTTAATAGACACCAAGGATCTGGACAGGTTTTCCCTCCCAAGGTACATCTACAGTGCTGGTATCTCCCAGATTCAGGTGTCGATCAAGAGATTAATCTGCTGCTACCAACCTATATTCATTTCAGGGGCAACTTGACTTTTCCCAGGTTCAGAAAAAACCAAAGCCCAAGATTTCCATGGCCTTTCCATCACCCTTCTCTGCTGCAGAAAACCAGCTTCTCCCATCTGCCTCATGTGCCCAAAGCTACTCAGCACACAGCTTCCTACCCCCAGAAATACACTTTGAGCATTCTTATTTCCACTTTTTCTCTTCACCAAATCCTGCAGACGTGAACTGGCCAAGGAACAGACACCCTTTTAGTCCAAAAGCATGAAGGAAAACATCCCTGAGGCATAAAACTATGGCAACCAGAAGCAGCTCATTCCATTGGCGGCTTTGCTAGAAGAAAGTGCAGTTCCAGTGACGCAAAATCAGCTTCACTAATGCCCGCAGCTCTTCTGTCAGCCATCTCTGCATGGCAACTGCTCCAAGACCCCTGCCTTGTTTTATTCCTTGGCTTTATTTCAGCCTTTCAGCTGTCAGGTCCTTTGTGCACACATTGTGACTCTATAGGTAACATAATGCATGCGTTAGCCTGGGCATTCCTCAAAGAATTGGCACTGATATAGAAACAAAAAAGCTTCCAGGGCTGTCAGTCGGAAAGGATGCCTGAAAACACTAATTCTCCTTGGATAAAAGCATTTGTGCTACTCTTTGCCTACACCTTTGCAATTCCTTCCCAATTAAATCTTAATAAACTCTCAAACTGCCAGAGCAGAATTACACTGGCACTAAAGCCAAGGGTGCTTCTCAAGTTAAGAGTCTCACTGACACAGTGGCCCCCCAGCCCTCTGCAGTGTCCATCACGGCACTCTGGACATACAGAGAGAAATTTTTCACGTCCTGCTCAAGTCAGGCTCTGCCTGACTATCCATGGCTCTCCCTCCAACAGTGCCCATGACAGTATCCAAAGGGAGCACTGCAGCAAACTAAGGCACAAAGCCACAGCAAGCTGTCACTGGGATTTGAGGAAGAGATTCCTTGGGGCTGCACACAGTCTCCCTGGCCAAGGGGAAGGTGATGGGGGCAGTGATGCTCTGAGCTGATCCCAGGCAGTACCAGCAGCGCCACCATTCCACAAACACTCAGCACTGACCTACTTGCCCAGGATCACCCAAGGTGATTGTTCCCACAAGGAGCCCTGTGCCCACATACCCTCTCTTGGCCCATTTACCAGCAGGACTGAAGGAAAACAAGCTGGTGGAAGTATGTTCCAATGGTAAGTACCAGATTATTACTATTCCAGACAAGTACTTTGATACTAAAATAGGGATCTCTGCTCGTTTTTTATTGCCCTGACAGCACCACCTGTGAGGGAATATACGAAATAAAGGAGAAAAAAAGCTCTCAAATGAAGAGGGTTGCAGTGCTCTAAATCAACATAATTTTGAATTGTTTACTGGAAATATATTCAACTGCAGGCTAAACACAGTGTGTTTTTCTTTACATCGAAGCACCAGGAGCTAAGAGAACCAGCAGCCTGAGAGGTAAAGGTAACTTGGGGAACTAAAAAAGCACAAATCAATTTTATACAACCCATTTTATTCAAAGCCAAAGAGGCAAAAGTTATTTAGACAATTGCAACCTACCCCAAAAACCTGAACTCTAGCCTGGAATACAAATAAGAGAGATCATGAACATCAAGTAATGTAAAGTTTGGGTTTGGTTTGTTTTTTTTTTATACCTTTCCTCCACCTTTATAAAGTAAGGCACCCTGTAAGAGCAGAACAATAAAATAAAGATTCCTAGTACCCAGAGGTTTTTACAACACACTAAATAAGTTGTTATAGCTTACAGCAGGCTTATTCTGCAGTAAAACCTGTCATGTAATTCCCTGGCAGCACATTAGGCCCCTATTAAATCGTGTTTGTGGTGATTTTTCAAGAGAAGCAGAAGGGAGAGAGAAGAGAGGAGAAGCAGAACCAAACCCCCAAAGTACTTACATCCAGAGAACACTCAAAAATGGTGTCATCCAGCAAGACAACTTTGCAGTACATCGTTCTGTGTCTTTTCACTGCTTTTTGGGCAGCTTTCAACTCCTTGTCTGCTTTAGTCTCCAGAGACTCTGGCTTCGGTTCTGGTTTGGCACCCTCTTCCTTTGCTTCCCCTTCTTCCCTGTCCTCGAGGTCTCTTCCCAATGGCTCCTGGTCGTCCCTCCTCTCCTCCTGAGCAGGCTGAAACCCCCAATTTAGAGGTGTCAAACAAACAAACAAACAAAGCATCACATGGAACAAACACTGCAGGGCTGGGATCTCACTCAGAATTCTTTATCCCACTTTAACCTGTAACCCAGGATCTGGAGCAGCAATTAGGGTGACCAAGGGAATGGCATTAATTTTATTCCAAGTACCTCTCAAGTTTTCATTTTGTAAATGATGTAATAAAAAAGAAGTAAGGTTGATTAGAGAAATCAGGGCAGATTACATCATGCATTCATGGCGTTAGTGACAGCACCTTCTGGACTGGGAAGGTTTTTTCCCCTCTCAGGCAGGACCCCCAGTGCTCCCACTGCCACTCTGGCAGAGCTGTTGTTCCAGTGCACTGGCCCTTGGCATGGCAAGGGGCAATTGTTTTAAAGTGACAGCGGCTAGGTGGGATATTGGGAAGAAATTCTTCCCATGAGGGTGGGGAGGCCCTGGCACAGGTTTCCCAGAGCAGCTGTGGCTGCCTCTGGATCCCTGGAAGGGTCCAAGGCCAGGCTGGACAGGGCTTGGAGCACCATGGGATGTTGGAAGGTGTCCCTGTCCCTGGCAGTGGGTGGGATGACATAGGCTTTAAGGTCCCTTTCAACTCAAACCATTGTGGGATTTTATGGTAGCAGTGGCACTAAAAGGAGGGTCAGGGCTGAGGCTTCATGGCCATTGGAGCTGACCGAGCAGCTCTCTGCCTCCAAAAAGGGAAGGCAGTCTGCACACCACCATCCCCTTTGCCTACGGAAGCACTTTGCAAGCCAGTTTAATCCACTCAAATAGCAGAAAGAGATGTAGTTTGGGGACAGGAGGAGGAAGGAAGCCGTATGGTTTTTTTTCCTCTGCCACTTCAGCAGGTTAAACGAGTTCACGGCAGGCTGTGACAATGCTGGAAGGGGCTGAATGCAGCAGGAGCAAAGAGCTGCAGCAGAGGAAGAGCAAAACCTTGTCTGTTCAGCCCATCACATCTTATGAAATCACACTCAGGCACAAGTGCACAGAGGTATTTAAAAACTAAATAATGTCAACAAGCTGCTGACTTCTGTTCCAGCAGAACTGGGACAATTGGGAGCAGGGAATCAAAGCTCCTAATGCCCGTCGGTCAGCATTTATCAAACTGCAGCACCTCGCAAATGCTTTCACAGCAGAAATATCTGCCGAGTGTCACAGTTCAGAAAAGCACTGACAGTGATCTAAAATAAGAACTAAAAAATACACAATTGCGTAGTCTAAAATGAACGACCCATGAAGAAAGGCTGGGGTGTAAATTCATATGGGCTCAGGACCAGCAAATCAGAGATAAATAGAGAAAGAAATCATGCATTAAAAAAACCAGAATGGTTTTGGTTGAAAGGGACCTTAAAGCCCATCTGACTTTCCACTAGACCATGTTGCTCCAAGATCCATGCAGCCTGGCCTTAAACACTTCCAAGAAGAAGCTCCTCTTGAAAATACAATTTCTGGGCTGAAATTGCCTGAAGATCTCCACCTCTTCCCCATACTTCTAACCCCAACCCTCAGAGGTATAAAACATGAGGAGAGATCATCCCACGGTCTTCACAGGCTCAGAAATTTGGGAAAAGAAAGGAAAAGCTGTTACCTACTACCCTCTCTACAACTTTGTAATTTTAAGGAGGTGGATTTACAATTATTGCCTAGTGGCAATGCTTGAATGTGTAAAGTATTGCTCCAAAACTGAGCATTTGTGGGTATCTGGAGCCACTGTGAACTTAAGGCAGTGGGTCAGAAATCTGGATTTCACCTAGTCTGGCTCCAGCAATACACACAGGTTGGTTGGGATATAAGAAATTCCCAACTGAGGAGAAGGAATACCCACCTTTTTCCACTTCAGGTTCAAGTAATAGTAGAGCTGCAACTACCCAAGAAGGAAGAGAGGGCACCCAGCACCCCCAAATCAATAACGAGTCACAGCTCAGTGAATGTTCCCTGGGGGTGTCTCTGCCTCAATTTCTACTTTAGATTTTTAAACATTAAATTTTGCAAGAAAAATGACCCTAGCTGGAAAGAGCAGACATCAGACATGTCTCAGGAGCTGGGTTCAGTGCTTGTGCCATGCAGAAAGGCCCGTCTACATGATGCATAAGCAGAAAATATTTATATTTGGCAGGCTCAGCACTAGCCCGAAACGAACAGATGACCGAGTCCTAAAATGCTGTGCTTGCGCTCCTTGAAGTTGAAGAAATCCATTCCCAAATCCAAATACTCTTGCAACGTCCACCTTGGGCCACTGACCTGCCTTGATCCTGCTCACACCAAGGATATCCTGATGATCAATCCTGGTTTTGGACTCAATGAATGTGAACCCTCTGTGCTCCGATGTGATACCCCAAGCCTCAGCAGAGCAATGATTCAGCACAGGGCATTTTAAATTATGCTGTGGAGTGTAACACTAATTCCTGAAACAGGTACTTTTCAGGTCAGATTCAGGGATGCCAGAGTGGGAAGTACACAATGAAACACAGAGAGCTAACAAGAGCCTTTTTGGCATCTCATGATCTTTTCTGGTCAAGCTCACCAGCCTGGGATATGAAGTTGTTGTAATTCTGGCTACAAAGACACATTTTTAAGCAGCAGGGAGCATGTTCCTCGGAATGGGGTGTTTTACCTGTGTTTCTGCACTGCTCAAGGAATGGAGATCCAGTGATGGGTCAGTTTTGAGCTCGGGCTCAGGAGCTGCAATCGGGGCTTTCACCAGGATATCGTCATCAGGGCTGGCTCCTAATTCTGCATCTTTCTGGTCACCTCCCGCCTCTTTAGGAGCATCAGTGTCTTTGTCCTCTTCGGATACCTGAGACTTCGGCCTCCTGAGGAAGGAGGAGAAGAGGCGGGAGAGACCTCGGCCCTCAGAGGTGCGACGTTCTTTCTTGCCCTGCTCCTCGTGCGTGGGGGTATCTCCGTTGGAGGCCTTCTGCTTCTGGGGCTGCCTTTCTGGTGCTGGCTGAGCCCCTTCCTCCAGGGAAGCCTCTTGCTTCTGTGTTTCAGTAACTCCTTCCTCCTCCTTGGCTTGCTGCTGCTCTGAGTTGTCAGCGTTGGCTGCTGGGCTCTTTTCTGTTGTCATGATGATGCTGTATGAGAGGAGCAAAAGGGCTCAATCAAGAGGTTTCCAATACCCATGTCTGACTGAGCTATTCAAACCAACCACGAGCACAGACACACCATATTCACCAGCCACACCACCCTCTAACAGAACCAGAGTGGAAGGGACCTACAAGGATCATCAAATCCAACTCTGAAGTGAATGGCCTGTAAGGGGATGAAACCCTGGCTGACTCCAGCCTAAGTCAGCAAAAGCAAAGTCATTCCTTTTGCTACAGTTCGCTTTGAAAATAATCTTTAAGGTCCCTTCCAACCTAAACCATTCTAAGAGTCTTTGATCTAAAACACAGCAAGCCACACTGCTGGGAACAGGACCCATCAGTGTTGAGCAGTCACATTGTTCTGTACCAGATGAATCCAGTGGAGCCCAGCAGACTTTGGGATTCACAGGGTATTTGCACTGCACACTGGAAAAATGTCAAATGAAAAGGTTTCCAAACATCTATAATGGAGAGCAGATTTCCTCAGAGCTTGTGCTATTAAGCTGATGCAATGTTTATTTCAACTTTAGCCTGGGCTGTTGACACAAAAAGATGGAAATCACATGAGAAGCATATCTATTTAAGGTATAAAGAGGACCCAAAATAATCATGCTTTAGAGGGGATAGAACTAATCTTTGCACACCGTATCACATGTATCTGCAGCAATAAATTGCCACTGCTTACACTGAGCACATAGCATATAATCCAATATGCCTCAATCCCCCAGCCCGAGCCTCAGTGTATAAACATTTGCTCAAAATACACACTTAAAATTAAGAAACATTTCAAGATGTCATCCTCCTACATATTATTGCATTCATCAACTTTAATATAACTCATCCTGACTGCTAAAAGAACCAGAGTGCTTGAAGGAGAAAAGCCCTCCCAGCTCTTCAAAGGACTTTCCCCTTGCGTTTAATGCAAACATTTCATAGTATTTCTAACGCCATGGTAAAATCAGCACAGCATCACAGACCTTCCCTGAATTTGTTTCTGCAGCAACACAAACTTCCTGAGGTTATAGGGTTTGGTTTGGTGTTTTTGTTGGGTTTTTTCACTTGGACTCAGCCCCAACAGTCTTGGGGACGAGCTGCAGGGCTAATTTTAGCATGGTCTCGAGAAGAAGACAGACTTACTCTCCACTCACCATCTACCCTCTGTGAGCTGCTCTGGGTATTTCCAAACCCAATGGAGTGGCAGAGGCCACTGAAACAGCAGCTTCCAACCTGCACTGAAGAAATAGGCACCCAAGCAGAGAACCTGCATCATGAGCAGCCAGTGGACCAGGGATGCTACATGGTCGAGGGTGCCCAAATCCAGATGTGCTTGTGACCAGTTTGCAGATGGCAGCATATGTGTGACTTGTTCCTGAAGTTCTTACTTCTGCTCCCTCTCCTCCTGCAATCCCTTGTCACCCATTAGCAACCCATGGCTCCTACTGCAGAGAACCCCAGCCACTATGCAGCCAATTTCTGCTCTCAAAGAACTCCTAGAGATGCCACAAGGCAGTGAAGAGGCCAAGGACTCTGTTCAGCCAAACACCCATCACCCCAAACCCACTATGCCAGCACCCAGGGCAAAGATCCCAATGCCCCAGCACACACAGAATGAAAGGGATGTCCCACCTGTCCCACCTGCAAGCCTGTCCCACCACAATCACACACCCAGCAGCCAGCTCCCTCAGGCACCAGCTGTTGGAGCAGCCTGCTTTGTTGTTGCTTCCCACCGTGTTTGGTTTGAATAAATAAATTTGTAGGAATCGTTATCAAAACACACAACACTGGACGAGTTGTTCTTCAAACCAAAAAGGCAGAACCAAAGCTTTAGAGATGACGTTAGTGGGGAGGGCACAGCTCAGGAGCAGCTCTTATCGGCTGCAGGAAGCCCCAGGGACAGTCCACAAAGGAACATTTCCTGTGGATGTACTTTTCTCTCTTTAAACACCAATAGCTTGGAACAAGATTTGTTGACTTGTTTACATTTCAAAGCCGCAGTCATGGACCTTTCCTGGCGCAGGAAGGTGGGTCTGGCTGGCAATGAGCAAACATCTCCTTGTCTTTCCTCCCTTCCCCAACAACCACGCTTCAGCTCAGCCAGATCCCCGCAGCAGCGCTGGGGATGCAGAGCCCTTCTTTTCTCAATAAACACTTCATAGCAGCCAGCACCAATAATTCACTGGGTACAGCAAACATCTTGCTGCGAGACCCGAGAGCGCTGCTCCAATGCGTGGACTCCCAGCTGACTCCCTCCCTTGGAAGTTTTATGCTCAGAAATTATTTCCCCTACATTCATTATCAAAAGCAAAGAGATTCGTAAGTAAGTAACATAACTGAGAGGGTGTCCATGGCAAGGGGGTGGAAGGAGATGGTCTTTGAACCTTCCAACCCAAGCCAGTCTGTGATTATACATGGAAGAAAAGGGCCTTTCCTGCAAGGAGACGGGTGCCAAATGGTGCCTTGTTTCCCGTCCAGCCCACAGCAGAACAGACACAAAGAGCGAAGGTTCCCGCTCCACTGCTCTTCAACTCATCCCTTGGAGAAAGCACTGCCCACAGCCAAACCGCAAGCAGGTTTTTATTTAAATTAAATTTTCTTCCCTTGCTATTCCATAAGCGATTCTGCTGAGCCAGCAGGTGCCTCAGGAGCTCCCTGGATGCTGGAGGAAGATGCTCTGCTACTGTAAGAGCACCCAAGCAATGCTGTTAACCTTTTGCTCTGAACTGTCAACATTGTAAATACTTCATCTGGAGGGGCTTTCTTTGGTAGAGGCTGAAGGTTTGATGTCAGACAGCCTGTAAAAGGCAGGCTCTTCACAAGTCTGGAGTGGAGAAGGTGTTAAACACTATGGAAATAAGCAAACTACAACAAAATTCAGATATGATCCCAGAGAGAGATTTCAGAGTAACAATCTCATCACAAAAGAGTACAAATATATATTTATATCTAAGGACTTTTAATGTGAAGAACATCCTCCAAATAAGGCAGCTTTGGCAACTGGAAGCAACCTGAAGAGAAAGGTGTTAAATACTTCCACAGCAGAACACAGGCTGAGCACATCTGCACCATGGGGTGACCTCCCACCAGCAACATCCCACCTCATCTGAACCAGAGCAGCCCCCAGGGGTGAACCTGGACCTCCTCAAGGATGTCGGTGCTTTGGTGATGAAGAGGGAGCTCCACAGATCTTCTCTCAAAAGGCATCAGCAACTCTGAACACCAAACGTCAAAGCAGAACAGTGCAGGGGCACCTCCTGAACCTGCTGTACCTGCAAAGACTCTACAGCCCCCCCATCCTCAGTGCTTATCCTTCCTTCTGGCCAAGGGCACAGCTGTAGGGAACACACAGTATCTCCCTGGGCTTGGTGTAATTCATACATACTCATCTCTCTTTCCTGCATCAAAACAGACTGAAAAGGTGCACAAGTGCTCATTGCTCGCTCTGCTCCCAACATATATGGTTCAATGATAAAATCATGGAATGCTTTGGGTTGAAGGGACCTTAAACTCATCTCATTCCAACCCCTTGGCATTGGCAGGGACACCTTCCACTAGACCAGGTTGCTCCAAGCCCCATCCACCCTGCACTAATTACCTGGTGAGCAGATGATGGCTAAACTCAGTTTCATCCCCACATGGCTCCATAGGTTCTGCTCTTGCAGACATCATAAGACACCCCCAATCTAAGCTAAACCATCCTGATTTTCCATGCTGCACAGACACACAGAGACTTATCTAAAATATTTTAGAGTAGCTCAACACACTGCAACAGCTCCATGTTGAGAAAGCCTTCAATCCTTCAGAGAATGGTAAATTCCTCCCTTAGGGTGCCTGTGCTCTGGAAGATTCTCATTAAGTGGTGGCACCTGAGTTCCCTGGAAATGACAGTGCTGCTCATTTGGGCTGTTCCATGACAAGATACAGAGGCTCAATGAAACAGGCAAGTTTAGATATGTCTGTCACCCTCTCCTACCTGTCAGCCTACTTCAGTCTCTCTTATTTAGGCACCCAGTAAGTTTAGCAACAGTAAACGGAACCTATGCTGAAGGAAGGAAGTTTTAATTAGAAATCAGGATGAAATTCCTGCCTGTGAGGCCCTGACACAGGTTGCTCAAAGAAGCTGTGGCTGCCTCTGCACCCCTGGAAGGGTCCAAGGCCAGGCTGGACAGGGCTTGGAGCACTCTGGGACAGGAAGGTGCCCCTGCCCATGGCAGGGGGTGGGATGACATGGGCTTTAAGGTTCCTTCCAACTCAAACCAGCCTGTGATTCTGTGAAAAATCTAACTTATCCCTGCTTCCAAGCCTGGAAAAATGATTTATGGCTTATGTCATAACTTAATTCCCAGTGGCTTAGTCTTTGAGAGAGAGAAGAAAAAGGACTGTCCATGGGGAAGGTGCAGTTCTTGGAAACACAAACCGTCTTGCAGAGATGCCTAACACCAGATAACGGGTGGGACAAACTGTCTTGACCTTGCTACACAGAAATATGTGGCTTCACTGAACACTGCTGCTCCAGCAAGAGCTGGAGATAATGATAAGACAGAAATTTCTGCTAAAAATAGGCAAAAATCAAATAGTTTCAGCAACAGTGTGGTGGGTTTCTTTAAAATGCATTCCTTCCTGTTTCATAATGTGTGTGAAAATCACACAATTCACCAGGGAAACTACACAGAATGCTGCTTGAAATAGAGAGCACAGCCTGAAAATTCAGTTTTGTCAAGACCCTGTGCACGTGCAACAAACCTGTGGGTGGGAGAGGAGGAAACTGCAGCTGCCACCAGCACGACTCACTCCACGTGTGTGTTATGTGTCCTACATGTGATTTTTACTACAGTAAAGAAAACATTGGATAGAGCTTGAAGCAATCTCATCTAGTGGAAGGTGTCCCTGGCCATGGCAGGGGGGTGGAATGTGATGGACTTTAAGGTCTCTACCAACCCAAACCAGTTTGGGATTCTATGACCACAGCAGAGA